GTCTCCGGGGCCTGTAAGCCCTAAGTTTTAGGCTTTTAGGCTGACTGTCTGGGACGGGCCCTGTAGGGCCCGTGTGGCTACGCAGTATGCCACATCGAGAGTCAAAACAGAGGTTGAGGGTACAAGTCCAGATAACAGAGCAAACTCTTTCAACCATTACCATTACCGGGATATTAGAGGCTTTGCACAAGGGCCTTTCAAAAAAAAAAAAAAAAAGCCCTGGATGCAGCAGCATCACCAGCAGCTTCGTCATCAGTAGAAAAGCAGTCAGTTAACGCAAACATCGTTCCACCTTGAACGTCAAAGTCAAAACAGAGGTCGAGGGCTCGACTCCCTTTTCCCGCTCGTCAGCTTCGCTGCCTTCAGTACCTCGCCAAGAAAAAAAGGGAATCAAAACAGACTATCGTGAGCAATTTTGCTTGGGCATCTTCTTTTTTCTTTTCCATGTTTTCTTGTATCTTTAGTGAATGAATTGCTGGTCAGCCTCCAACAGTGGGTAAGCCTGTTATTGATGTTGGTACACCCCTCTTATTGATCGCCCCTTTGTATTGCTGGGGAGCTTCATCAACCAAGAGAAACTTTAAGGAGGAAAACTATCAATAACAGGGGGCACCGATTATTGGAGGCTTAAGTGAACAAACATTATGAACGATGATGGAACAATTGCAGGCAGCATTGATTACCCTTCATGGAAAAAGGAGTGAGGGCCTAGTTGCACCACTCGCCATCACCGTCTTGAATGAATCTGAACAAGGAAACTGGCCTGATGCATTCAAAATGTTGCCGGGCGCTGAGCGGTGCAACTAGGCCCTGACTACAATCATGATGGAACAACTGTAAGTAGCATTGATTACCCTTAGGGAAGAAGATTGAGGGCATAGTTGCACCACAGGCCATCGACGAACATCTTGAATGAATCTGGTTGCACCACAGGCCATCGATGAACATCTTGAATGAATCTGAACGCGGAGTCTGCCCTGGTGCATTCAAAACGGTTGGGGGATGCTGAGTGGTGCAGCTAGACCCTACCCTGACTGAGGGCCTAGTTGCACCATTCACCATCGACCAGCACATCTTCAATGAATCTGAACATGGGTTATGCCCTGATGCATTCAAAATGTTGGCGCAGTTGCAGCAAGACCCTGACTGAGGGCCTAGTTGCACCACTCACCATCGACCAACACATCTTCAATGAATCTGAACACGGTTTATGTCCTGATGCATTCAAAAAAAATGTTGGTAGATGATCAGTGGTGCCCGACTGTCTTCTGAAAAACTGACTTTCCCTCAATGAACCTGGATGAAACTCGACCATAGCTCCTTATCACACCGCCACACTTAGCCCCTTGATGGCACAGTAATTTTCAGGCCCCATGAACACATTCCCCCCATGGGTAAATGGTACCCTATGTCATCTTGGATAATAGCACCAACACCTACCGTCCTCACCCGAATAGAACGCCCGGTCATTATAGCTGCAGTTGGCCCAACTTTCAGTCCAGATGCAGCGATAATGACCGGGCGTTCTATTCGGGTGAAGACGGTAGCCCTTTGATGGCCTAGTCATTTTCCCATCCGCCCACAAACACATCCCCCATTGTGCCAGACCCGCCGGGATGGCGGTCCGACAGGATGGAGGAGAAGGGTGGACGAAGGAGGAGACAGAGATGGAGCTGGAAGGGACAGCGCAGCTCCGACACAGACTCCACACACACGTACTCCAAGATCTGCCAAAGTGAAGAATGCCGAAAAACAGACAACTGCTGGGGTATACCCCCAGCGGACTGACTGACTGGACTGGACTGGCCTGGTAGTGACAGTGGTACCGGGCAGGACTAGAACAGCACGCGGCCTGTGGGGTTAGGCCACGGCCTGGTCCCACAGGCCGAACTGGGCAAATAGCCAAATAGGCCCTGGCTGTAGGCCAGGGCAGATGAAGGCTCGCTGCACGATCCTCAGACCTGTAATGGATCGCAAGAGCCATAAACACGCTATCCGCAAAAGCAGCGAAACTCTGCAATAAAGAAAGCTGAGAAATTTAGGATACGGAGCAAGCTCCATGCGGAGTCCATGCATTGCATCCTAAGCTACATAATGTCAAAAGAAAAGCAAATGTCTGGTATACATATCCTAGCTAACAGCAGAAAATGAAATGTAGTATTATACAATCCTAAAGTCCTGGAGGCAGTGGCCTCGGTGCTGAAAGGAAAAGAGCAATATGTCACAAGATAATGTCATGTCGCTGAACCAGTAAGAGTGGGATGGTCTCAGAGGGGGTGAATGCAGCCTAAGAATCGAAACTCCTAAGGGAAGTCACACATGAAGGTGGGATAGGTCATCAGGCTCAAGGTGGAAGAGTGGTAGCGAAACAAAACCAATGACCCTAACAAATAGACCATCAAGGCGGGTAATGCTCGACAAAAGGGTGACATCATGCAGGGTCGACCATGAAAAGGGGAGCCTGGAATAGGGTGGAGCTATGCCGAACTGGAGGCATGCAATAGCCGGCGCTAGGGTGATGAGGCTAGTGGGTGAGGGAAACATGCACACAACTCACCGACTGGGAGAGGGAGCTAGATCTGGGAGCAAGGAAGCCAAGATAACGCTACGGTCCCAATGCCTATGCGATACCAAGGGAGAGCCAATCTCAAAGAGACCCAGCTAAGTGAGAACCATCATGCGGCAGAGGCAAGGGAGTATGCAGGGTAGGGTGGTGACGTGAAGTAGTCACATCCAAAGTAGTTGAAGTCGTCGAAGTGGTCGATGACGTCGATGAAGTAGCAGTGGAGTCGATGTCGAAGCAGAGCCGCAAAACGCTGACATCCTGAAGAAGAGATGATGATGGAGTACCTGATGGTGTGAGTCAGTGGGGAAAGATAGAGGATAAGAGTGTCAGTCATCGTAACGCGAAGGGCGACGATAAGTGCATTGTGGACGCTCAGAGGCGACCGTCTACGGCTGAGGAACGGCCTGAGAGGGAGCGGGCTCGTCCTCAGCAATCTCCTCGGCCGGAGGAGGAGGAAGAGGGTCAGTCGGCTGAGTAGAAGCAGATGTCTCAGCACGACGAGCACGTTCATATGCACGCACCAACATCCTGGCGTGCTGCAAGTGCTCGAGGGGCTCCCAAGTAGCCTCCTCATCAAGGTAGCCCTTCCAACGCACAAGGTACTCGATGCGTGGAGGGGTATCGTCGGTAACTCGGCGTAATACGATGTCGGAAACAACGAACTCCTCGTGACCGCCCACCATGATAGGTGGAGGGCGCTCATAAGGGCGTCCGGCGAAGCGCTCGGATGGTCTGCGATAAGGACGCAGCAAGGAGACGTGGTAAACATCGTGTACGCAAGCTTGTCGAAGGTAATCAGGTAGCTTCACACGGAAGCTGACCGGACTAGCGGCAGTATCAGAACCGACGGCCTGAAGGATGCGGCATGGACCGAAGAAACGACGCATGAACTTATGAAGCGTATCTGCTTCGAGCTGTAAGTGGCGTGCGTCGACGAGCACATCGTCACCGACTTTGAATGGATGATCCATTCGTGATCGGTTCGCTCGTGCGGCCATGCGAGTCTGGGAATCAGATAAACTCTCGTGTGCGCGCTTCATAATCGCCGCCATGTGGGCGATCCAGTCGTCAAGCGCAGGGCATCGAGTGTCTGGGCGCAACCGCGATGGTCGTAGGAATTCCGCGGGTACGCGAGGGTGGTAGCCGAGGTCGCAATAGAATGGCGACATCCCCGTGGCTGGCGAAACAACGTGGTTGTACGCAATCTCCGCGTGGGCTAAGTGTAAGTCCCACTGCTAGTCATCCCTAACAAACTTTCGGAGGATATTACCGAAAGTTTTGTTGATGACCTCAGTCTGACCATCCGTTTGAGGGTGGTAAGACAATGAGAAGCGGAGCTGGGATCCGTACACCTCGTGTAGGCGTCGCTTGAATGTGCTGGTAAAGCGCGGGTCACGGTCGGAGATGATGCTCTGAGGTAAGCCGTGATCTCTCACGACTCGGTCGAAGACGATGTCGGCGACCTCACGAGCGCTAATGCGATAGCGGCACGGAACTAAAAGTGCACGCTTCGTGAAGCGATCGACGACGACCAAGATAACATCATGACCGCGCTCAGTGGGTGGGCGGAGGGGACCAATGAAATCCATCGAGATGGACTGCCAACGACCCTCAGGTATGGGTAGGGGCTGAAGTAACCCATATGGAAGGTGGTTCGCACTGTTCACCTCCTAGCAGGTAGGACACTCCTGGATGTAGGCTTTGACAAAGTCCTTGGACTTCGGCCAGACATATAGGCGGCAAACACAAGCCAACGTCTTATGGAAACCCATATGACCGGCAGCTGCCGGGTCATGGAACTCTGCTACAGCCTAGACGCGGAGTTGTCCGGTGGAGGGAACGCAGATACATGGTTCTAGCTGACCAGATCTGCCATGCCAGTACACGAGGCCGTTCTCCCCGAGGGAGTAGGAAGGAACGGTCTTGCCACTCCGCAGTGTCGCGTGGATGATGCGATAATCGGGGCAGTGGCGATACTGAGTGCGACACGCGTCGATCACCGACTGATCAACAGTGGTGATGGAGATGGCAGCAAGATGGATGGGTTCCTGATTATGATCAGGACGGCGGGACAAGGCATCGGCGACGCGGTTCGTTTCACCCTTGATGGGCTGAGTGGTGAAAGAGAACCCGGATAAGTCACGCCATCAGCGTGCCTGTCGAGGGGAAAGCTTAGGCTTCGTGAGGAAAGCCTGGACAACTGAGTTGTCCGTGTACACCGTGAAGGGCGCCCCGTGCAAATAATGACACCAATGCCGGGTAGCATAAACTACTGCGAGAACCTCACGTTCATCGGCAGTGTAGTTTATCTCGGCAGGCAGTAGCTGACGGGAGTAGAAAGCGATGGGGCAATCCCTAGCACGAGCCTCGACAGTCCCATCCTCCGCGATGGTCGGGGAGTAAGTAACAGGAGGACTATCAGTGGAGGGAAGTGGTGGGAGGGTAGGCGTTAGTCGAGAAGCAGTGTCAGCAGGAGGGGGGGGGGAAGGAGGAACATGGGGGTAAGATGAATCTGGAGGAGAGGGAAACACCTGAGAAAGGACAACTCCTACTGCAAAATCTGACGCATCGGTGGTGACGATAAAGGGATGATCAAAATCGGGAAGGCGAAGAACCGGCGCACAGGTCACCGCCTTCTTGAGGGCGCGAAAGGCATCCTCGCACAGGGGTGTCCAAAACCACGGCGGGTTCTTCCGGAGCAGGGTAGAGGTAAGGACGTAGGAATACCTAGCGTATCCCTGGATAAAATTACTATAGTAGCTGGTGAGGCCTAGGAAACTGCGAAGCTGCTTGGCAGATGTGGGGACGGGCCACTCTGCAATAATAGTGATCTTTGCGTCGTCCATGTGCAGACCCTGGTCAGACACATGGTGTCCTAGGAAGTCCACTTTGCGCTGGGCAAAGCGGCACTTACTGAGCTTGGCATAGAAGCCATGCTTGCGTAAGCGTTGTAGGACATCGCAGAGGTATCTGAGATGGTCTTCTAAGGTACGACTGTAGACCACGATGTCGTCCAGGTATACGAGAATGTATTCTTCAAGGATGTCCCTGAAGATGTCGTTCATCATCGTCTGGAAGGTGGCGGGTGCATTGGTGAGGCCGAATGGCATCACCGTGAACTCGTAGTGGTCGAAGCGCGATCGGAAGGCGGTCTTCGGCTGATCCTCTGTGGCAACGCGGATCTGGTGGTAACCGCTATGAAAATCGATCTTCCTGAAGAAGCGGTTGCCTGCCAGACGATCAAACAGCTCATCCGCGCGGGGCATGGGAGAAGTTGTTCGCGATACTCGATGCAGAGGCGGAGAGTTCCTCCGCTTTGTGAGCAAAGAGGACAGGTGCACCCCAAGGGGAGTTACTGGGTTTAATGAAACCCAGTCGAAGGAGCTCCTCAAGCTGACGCTTGAGTTCCGTCGCCTCTGGAATCGAGAGTCGGTACGGTGCCTGATGGTGAACACGATAGTCAGGCACGAGCTGGATAGAATGCTCAACACCGCGCACCGGGGGAATCCCGCTGTATGAGAAATACGGAGGAAAGACGTCGCGGTACTCTCGAATCAGGTCGCGAACGGCCGGCTCTAAGTCTGTCGTGAACCGTGTGAGTTCCTCAGCGTCTGCGTCGGCACGAGACGTATGTGTGGACTCGAGAGTCGACGGCGCAGGGGCCTGGGACGTGGAGGGGGTATCCGCAGGGTGGCGGGTGGACGTAGAGATGGGAGCCGCGAAGATGGAGGAATGGTCAGGGGGATCGGGCTCCAGAGAGATGAGCTCAACCTCGGGACAAAGTGGATCGTAGCGAAAAAGATCCATGACGTTCACTGAGTAGAACGTGACGTCCTGCTGTCGTATGAAGTGAGCGAACTGACGAGGGGAAGTGAAGGCAATGTCGGGGTGAGACCCTAATGGACGAGGGTCCCGGGGAGGTAGGTTGGGAGGCGTGTCGCCCGTGGTTCCAATGAAGGGAACGCGATGGGTCTGAACACACTTCGTTTTGAGAACGAGTGTCTCGGTCGCCCATTCGGCCTCTTTGCTACGGAACCGGCGAGACAAGGGAGTGCCAAGGATAAAGTCGTACCCAGTCTCCAGCACATCGAAGTATGCGGAGGAATTGTAGCGTCGAGGCGCCTGGGTACTATCCGGTGGCTGGAGGGTGACGGGTGGTCATAGAGAAGGGAGCCGCGAAGATGGAGGAAGGGTCAGGGGGATCGGGCTCCAGAGAGATGAGCTCAACCTCGGGACAAAGTGGATCGTAGCGAAGAAAATCCATGACGTTCACTGAGTAGAACGTGACGTCCTCCTGTCGTATGAAGTGAGCAAACTGACGAGGGGAAGTGAAAGCGATGTCGGGGTGAGACCCTGATGGACGAGGGTCCTGAGGTGGTAGGTCGGGAGGCGTGTCGCCCGTGGTTCCAATGAAGGGGACGCGATGGGTCTGACCACACTTCGTTTTGAGAACGAGTGTCTCGGTCGCCCATTCGGCCTCTGTGCTACAGAACCAGCGAGACCAGGGAGTGCCAAGGATAAAGTCGTACCCAGTCTCCAACACATCGAAGTATGCGGAGGAATTGTAGCGCCGAGGCGCCTGGGTACTATCCGGTGGCTGGAGGGTGAGGAAGAAGTGGAGGTCGGGGACCGTCTGATCGAAGAAGCGTTGTGTCTTGTTATCTCCGAGGGTAACGGAGATAGGAGAGCGGGACCCAAAGGTAGCTAGGCGAGCTTTCTCAACCACTCGAGGGTGAACGGAATCTCCCTACGAGCCAGAGTCCCATAAAGCGCGGTACACCCTCGTAGATGTCCCTAGGCAAATAGGGATAATGGGTAGGGTGCGATCAGGGTCAGAAAGCAGAGCGAGAAGACGACGAGCCTGCAGAATGCTAAAGTCCAGGAGAGATGACACAACGTCATCGCGAGTCGCCAGCTGAGCACTACAACGGGCTGTGCGAATGGCGCGATGCGTCGGAAGTCTCGGGGGAGAAGCGCTAGATGTGGCGGTCTGCTGGGAGGCAGACGGTACCTCGACAGACGACGGGGCAAAGAGAACTGTGTCTGTCGTGTCCTGAGGGTCCTCTGGTGGGGTAGCCAATGGGGCAAACCGCGACTCGATGGTCGCGAAGCCGGCTGCGTGCGAGGCCTCAGGGGCACACTGCACCGTGGCTAGGTGGATGGGGCTGGCCGGGCGGGGCCGGGGGGGGACTGAGATCGACGCTGACGAGAGATATCAGCGTAGTGCCGATCGAGGGCGGTATGGTATGGACACCGTGAGGAGGTGTGTCCATCCAGGCGGCAACGAAGGCAGCCGCGACGGGCCTCGACGGCGGCACGCTCCTCAGGAGATAAAGCTCCACGAGGAGGGACGAAACCCTGCGGGAGGTCTATCTAGGGAACGGTGGGTGTGCGAGCGCCTGCCTGTGCCACCCAACTGCGCGCACGACCCATGGCAGACATGGCCATCTGCAGGCGCTCGGCCACCAGGACAATGTCATCATCCAAGTTACTGGATGACGTACCGAAGCTCGATGTCCTCGGGGGTGTCCCCAACGGTAGGGTCGAGCTCGGCTGAGGCATCCTCTCCATACTCGAGAGAACTGTAGTGCCGAGAGAATGGCGCTCCAGGTCGAGCCGGGCGACGAAAACGACCAGCAAACGAGGAGCGGCCTCGGGTGGTACCCCGAGACTGGGAGGTGGCGGCTGGCCGCAAAGAGGATGGGGCGACGGAGAAGCGACTGCACATCCTCTGGTACTGACGCGCAGCATCGTATGCCTGCTCCGCGGAAGAGAATGATCGCCTCCATAGCTCTAGGCGATAGTCAGTCGGCAGGCTGACAAGGAACCGGTCGGTGAGTGTGACCTCCGGTAGGAACGTCTCGTCACAAACAAGGCGAGCGTCCTGAAACACCCGGATGTGACGCTCCACGTCGGCCGGTACAGAGGACCCGGACCATTTGGTCTAATGGACGCGGTCTAAGGCGTCGGTGGTGTCATGACGAGCGCCGAAGCGGTCCTGAAGGAAGGCCGCGAAGTCGGCCAGAGTGGGGACCTCACCCACGCGGAGGCGCTGGGTATAATGATCCTCCCATGCAGTGGAAGGGCTACCTCGCAATTTGGTTGCGAGCACATCGCACCACAACTCCTGATGGGTGGTCGTCATAGAGAGTGTAAGTGTTGCTATCTACAACCAGCGAGAGACACGGCATGTGCCATCATACTTGGGAATGTTCGTGGTGCGCACAGGAGGATGTCCATTGTGCTGATGGCGAGGGGAGAGGGATCGAGGCGAGTGCACTGCGGCGGCGTAAGTCGAGGCCGCTGCAGGGGCAGAGGTGGGGGAAGGCTGTGGGCCGTGGCCGCTGGCTGATGGACTAGCAGACGAGGAGGCAATGGCCGCGGGCACCTGTCCCGAAATAGCTAGGTAGGAGGGAAGAGGCTGAGGAACAGTACGAGGGAAACGAGCCTGCATCATGGGGACCGAAGGGGTGGTAGAGGAAGAAGGGTGGGCAGCCTGTGATGGAAGAGGCTGTCTCAGAGCGAGATTCTTCGCCTGAGTCTGCGCAATGGTCTGTAAACTGGCCACTCGCTGGGTGCGCGGGGTTGGAGGTGGAGGGGGCGGGGCGGGTCTCCCAGTAGGAGGAGAAATCCCAGCCTGGGCGATACCCTGCTGTGGGGGTGGGGGGACGAAGGCAGGAAGAAGAGGGCGGAGCTGTATTGCCGCGACCGGTGCGGGAAGCTGGGAAGCAACACCGGTGTGGGTCGATGAAACTGTTGGGGCAGAAGGGGATACCTGGACCGCAGCACCTACGGCAGTAGTAGAGACGGTAGGGACGGCCGTGGCCGGAAGAACTGCCGCAACAGACGGGGTGGTCTGAGCGGCAGCACCACTCGCCACCGCTGAGGGGGAGTGTTGGGCCTGGCCCGCAGAGGAGGGGGAACCATGGTGACTTCTCCGGAGTCCTGGGGAGACGGAATCGGAGCCGGTAGGGGATGGGGTGTGGGAGCGGTGGGGAGAGCGATGGGGGGAGCCCTTGAGGCGGTTGACGTCGAGGGCAAGCGCATTTATTTGTGCTTGCAACGGTCCAAGCGTACTGAGTTGCGCCTAGATCGCTACAAGGGCGGCATGAAGGTCCATGGTGTCCACATGGGCCTGGCCAGGAGCCGTTGACTGCACGGTGACCTGGGATGTGGACTGCGCCGCGACGATCTCCTCAGGTGTAGCACTCTCCGTGGGCAGTGGGGGGAGAGAAGTAGACATGGTGGGAGGTGGGGGGAGATATGGGTTGTGGTATGGGGACAAAGGACCACCGGTGAGAGGGAGGGGACCGCGAGAGCGGAGTGGGTAGTCGTGGGTCAGCTCGCCCCGTGACCAGCGGGTCGCGCATGAGATGGTGGCTTGAATCCGATCGAGGGGGGAGGAGTCGTTCTAACTGGAGTTTAGGTGGTTAGGGGAAGGTGGCGGCAACCTAATTAAGAAAATAAAATAATAACTATGGAGGGTAGAGAGATTAGAATAAACAGTGGATTTTCGAGATAAAAATAAAAATATATATATATAAATAAATAAATAAATAAAATGTAAAGAGTGAGGAGAGAGAGAATATTTACTTTTTCGGAATTTTCGGCAGCATTTTCCCACCCCGCATGGCATCAAAAATGTGCCAAGAGGAAGGAAAGTGCAAGAGGGACACACTAACTTTCAAAATGCTGCAAACTAAAATTTTCAGAAAAAAATAAATGAGTAAATAAATAAATAAATAAGGAGGTGGAAGAGAGTGAAGAGAAGCCAAGTTTTGCAATTTTTTAAAAATTTCGGCAGCATTTCATTACCCCCATGGGGTCGAAGTGTGCCGTCAAGAAAAAGACTAAGTAAAATGAAAAAATTTGGCCAACGCTTCGCTACCCCCAAGGGGTCAAAATGTGCGCCGTTAACAAAGAAAGACTAAGTCCTAGCAAGATATAAGAGGTGCCGCAGAAATTTTCAAATTTTCAGAATAGATAAATTAAAATAAAAAAATAAATCAGAAAATAAGAAAAGAGGTAGGGAATAAGGTGATTCAGATTTTTTTGGAGGAAAAGAAAAAATTTACATCAACGAGAAAGAGAAAAGAAGAAAAAACAGAAAAATTCGGAGTTGGGTGTGGGGGGGGATGAAAAAGTGATGAAGAAAGAGAGAAAGAAGTGAGAAGAGAAAGAAAAAGGTAAGGTGGGGGATGGGGAGATGAAGGGGTTGTAGTTAGGGGAGGGAAGGAGGAGAAGAGGGTGGTGAAATGGGAGAGAAGGATAGTAGGTGAGATTAGTGAGAGATGGTGAGTGGGGAGGAGAGGAGAGAAAAGGGTTATGGAAGATGGGTGGAGAGGGAGGTAGGGGTAGAGAGTAGTGGTAGGGGGGGGGGGGAAGATGATTAGGTGATGAGGGGGGAAGAGAAAGGGTTTGGGGGGTATTAGGTCAGTGGTAGAAGGTGATACCAGGCTCTTGGGTGGCCAAGAGCAGGGTTCTACCAAGATCCACAGGATCTTGGCCTTCAAAAAGGCTGATGGCCTGATGCCATAGCAAAACAAAAGAGATGCTGATGATCTAGGGTTAGCTGAGATCTTGATCAGCCACCCTGGTGCCATAGTCACACAGCCCCCTAGCCAGGGGGGAGTCTTGAGCAGTTGCCACACTGTTGCTGCCACAGTGAGTAGTAGTAAAAAAATATATATATATGTATGTCTGTGGCGCAGCCCCCTAGCCAGGGGGGTCTTCAACAGGTGTCCACGTGGCACTGCGGATTGCCACGTCTGCAGCCACCGGCAGCCACGGCGTGCGCGGGGGGGGGGCTTATACACATCTAGATGTGTATAAGAGACAGGCAAATAGCTTCGCAGCACGTTGTTCGCTGCTCGCCGGGGGGGGGGGGGGGGGGGGGGGGTAAATAGCTGGTGTGGAACTGTTCAACACGAACGTTCCGCACTATACAGCCATGCATACAGTTTGGCCAGTGTGTTATAGCACTGGCTACGCACGCGCATGAGTGTTGCCTGCCCAAGTTCAAACCCTGGCACTGGCAGCATCCCGGATATCTTGATAATATATATCCGGGAGCGGGGCGGGGCGGGGCAGCGTGGGCACGCGTGCGGCGGCCTTGGCCTTGGCGCTCTCCTTTTTCGCCACGTGGCAGTCTCTTCCCGCTGCTGCTTTTTTCCCCTGTTTTTTCTCTACTGCCGCACCGAAAAACGCCTGAAAATCCCACTGTCGGGATTACACCGATCCCGCACCCGCTGTTGCATGCGGGGGGAAGGGCGGGTTGGAGCGGGGACCATTCCCGCTTTGGTGCCGGACCCGCTGGGATGGCGGTCCGACAGGATGGAGGAGAAGGGTGGACGAAGGAGGAGACAGAGATGGACCTGGAAGGGACAGCGCAGCTCCGACGCAGACTCCACACGCACGTACTCCAAGATCTGCCAAAGTGAAGAATGCCGAAAAACAGACCACTGCTGGGGTATACCCCCAGCGGACTGACTGACTGGACTGGACTGGACTGGTACCGATAGTGGTACCGGGCAGGACTAGAACAGCACACCGCCTGTGGGGTCAGGCCACGGCCTGGTCCCACAGGCCGAACTGGGCAAATAGCCAAATAGGCCCTGGCTGTAGGCCAGGGCAGATGAAGGCCCGGTGCACCCATGGGTGTATAATACCCCATGTCATCTTCGATAATAACACCTAATTGCTTAGCGCCCGTGGTGCTGGAAGGGCGGTGCGGACAGTGCGGGCAAAGCCTGCACAAATAAGACAAAGTGGACATTTATGTAATTTGGCTAGTCTAAGACTAACTTCCCTTCGAAAACCAAATATGTTCCATGTATGCCAAAAATATATGCGCAGAGGCAAGAGCGCAAGAACTCCATGTATTGTACAGAGCTTTCTTTTCTTTTCTCTTCTTTTTGTTTTGTGTGCGTC